CCACCACGCTGTCCGCAATTGCGCTAAGCGCCACCAGCCGGTATTCACTCCTCTGGATCAGAGTAAGGGAGAGCGAGAGAACGAATATACAGTTAAACGGGCAGCCATGTACATGGTCTGTAGACCCGCTGGGAGCGCAAACGCACACACAGACAGGGAATCAGATCCACGGGAAACTGCCAGCGCACACCAGGCCTCAGGGGCCATTGTTTGCTGAAACGTGGCTCAGTCTTGTCCACCGCCCCCCTATACACTCCCTGGGGGCAGCCTATGAGTCAAAGGCGGCCGTTTAAGTCCCGCCTCCCCTCCGGTATTATCGGTTTTGTGACTAGTTATTGCTCATTATCCTGTATTCATCTGTATTTTGCGTAGACCTTCAGTTACAAGGCAAAGCCATTCCGCGAGCAGTCTGTCGCACAACCAGAATACGACAGTAGATTGGGTTATATTGTGGCTGACTCAACCTAATCCAGCCGGCAGATGATGAGTCGATTGACGTAGTAATTAAAAGGGCTATTGTGACCCGATTTTTAATCGGTAGGTTGCTAGCATCTGGTTTCAATGACAGACTGAATAATCTTGGCAGATAGGTGCCAGACCACTCCACTAACTGACGACATGGCCATATCCTCATGCCGCTTGGCTGTTCGCCTGGCATTCCTTACCAAGTCAAAATTAAGGAATTACGTTTACTGAGTATCTGTGTGTGTTTGTTGATTCACTTGAACCGGTATATGCTGGTCCAACAACGACCAACAACGAAGGGGATACGCAAACGCATACCGGCCTGGAAATGCAATTGAGCGAATTGATCGATTTCAAGTTCAATTCTCGCACGTTTAATTGATACGGACCATCGCGGTGACGCGCGAAAGAAAAGTCATCAAATCATATACCAGGCACAGTTTTGCCTATCTTGGCCAACTACAGATGGGAGACGCGTCTCGTCTCAAACACAGCCTACCGTGGTGAGGTGTTCATTCATTATACAGTACATCCGTCAATTAATCAATGTTGCCTATAATGTGTACAGCATGTTCCATATCTGTTGCAATATTTTGTGGGAACCTTATGACTTCTTCCTCAAATCATAGGCGAAAACGTAATTTGCCTTAAACAGGATGTAAACAGCACGCAGTTTGTCAACCTTGAATTCAGCTGTAGGAGTCGGTAGACTTCAAAATTATTCGAAAATTCTGAAACTACAAGATACCCTTTCTTTAGGTATAACAAGTAAAGCAGGCGTAATTTGCTACCAAAAGAGTACAAGACATATTTTTTTCATTGATGTTTACCATAAAATATATTTGAATTTATAAAAGCAGTTAAAATCAATGATACAAATGCACAATATTTAAGTAGCCACATTTTACAGTATATGCGTTTTGTTAGCAGTCAGAAATAAGCTCGTTAAAAGCTTACATCCT